CAAACGCCTATAATGAAGTTTGAATGATGTTAACGCTCCACAAGCATCCCACAACCACACCGCAAACGCCAGCCGGGCATTTGCAGAGCGGCACCATAGACTTCAATAGGAGGCTTCAACTCCTCCTGACTCGACCAGAGGCATCTGTTTTGCCACCGCGACGCAACGCTCCCATTTGAAACAGCACCATGTGCTGCAATGTGCAGAACTTTCCCAGGCGTTTGGGAAATGGTAAAAACGCTTCCCAAACGCCTGTCTGCAGCTTGCTAACAAGGCTAGTGTGAACGTAGCCTAAATCCTGTATAATAATGATAATAATAATACAAGAGAGGATTTTGCTTGCTTTAGAAACCGCAGCATGGCATTGCATGCCATCATTAAGCTTGTGATCTACCAGAGCGCCCAGATCCTTCTCCACCATTGATTCACCCAGTTGTTTCCCTAGTATGTTTGATGCATGCATATTCTTAGCCCCCAAGTGCATAACCTTACATTTATCAACATTAAACCTCATTTACCACATAGTTGCCCAATTAAGCAGTGCATTGAGGTCGGCTTGGAAGTTGAAGACATCCTGTAAGGACGCTATTCCGCTGCACAGCTTGGTGTCATCTGCAAAGACTGAAATGGGATTTTTAATACCAGACACTATATCGTTTATAAATATATTAAAAAGTAAGGGTCCCAACCCTGAACCTTGGGGTACACCACTGACAACCCAAGACCATTCAGAGTATGAAAACATTAACCACTACTCTCTGAATACGATCTTTTAGCCAGTTTTCTATCCATTTACATACGGATTTTTCCAAGCCCGTAGACTTTACCTTACACATTAGCCATATGTGGGGAACTGTGTCAAATGCTTTTTTCAAAATCCAAGTATACCACATCCACCGCCACCCCCTCTGTCCAAGGTTTTGCTCACCTCCTTATAAAAAAAAAAATCAAATTTGTTTGAAAACTTCTGTCTTTCATGAATCTATGCTGTCTGTTGCTTAAAATATTTTTTTCCAGCAAGAACTCATATATGTGGTCTTTTATTAAACTCTCCAGCAGGGGCGGACTGACCATTTGGAAACTCGGGCACTGTCCGAGGGCTTGGGGTCAGTTAGGGGGCCCCATGAGATCCCCCTGGTAACTTTTTCATAGGCTTTTTTGAGTTTGGGCAAGGACACAGGGGCCCCATGATCCCCTATTGCCCGGGGGCCCCATGAGTTTGTCAGTCTGCACCTGCTCTCCAGTATCTTCCCAACTATAGAAGTTAAACTAATAGGTCTATAATTGCTTGGTAAAGATTTTGACCCCTTTTTAAATATTGGCACCACATTGGCCTTATGTCAATCCAGTGGTACTATGCCAGTCATTAAAGAGTCCCTAAAAATCAGAAACAATGGCTTTGAAATGACAGAGCTCAATTCTATAAGGACCCGTGGGTGTATGCCAATGCGGTCCAGGTGCTTTATTCACCTTTATACTAATTGTTTTTGGATCATATCAGTTGTGAGCCAATGTGGATCATCTGGAGCTGTGTCAATACCATGCCTATTATGGACAAGGTGTTAATGAAATTAATAACAGGTGCACTAGATGGGCAACAATGAGACAACCCCAAAACAGCAATGGTTTAGAGCTCTGGGATATCATGTTTCGGTCCATCCGATGCCGCCAGGTTGCACCTCAGACTGTCCAGGAACTTAGTGATGCCCAGGTCCAGATCTGGGAGGAAATACCCCAGGACACTATTCGTCGTCTCATTAGGAGCATGTCCTGATGTTGTCAGGCATGCATACAAGCACGTGGGGGCCATACAAACTACTGCGTACCATTTTGAGTGGGTGCAATGAAATTTCTGCAAAATGGACTAGCCTGCTGATCTTTTTTTTCACTTTGATTTTCGGGGTGTCTTTTAATTCAGTCCTCTGTAGGTTAATCATTTTCATTTCCATCAAACCATGGGGCATCCTTATACTCCTAACACATTACCCCAGTCCATATCAGTATAAATATCCAGCATGATATTTTTCCCCATTGAAATCTGATGTGTTTTCAAAGTGTTCCTTTCATTTTTTGAGAAGTGTATAATGTTAGCTGCCTGGCTCCATATGCTGCATTACATACACTATATTGCCAAAAGTATTGGGACACCCCTCAAAGTCATTGGATTCTGGTGTTCCAATCATATCCATGGCCACAGGTGTATAAAAATAAAGCTCTTAGGCATGCAGACTGCTTCTACAAACATTTGTGAAAGAATAGGTCACTCTCAGGAGCTCTGCGAATTCAAGTGTGGTACCGTGATAGGTTGCCACCTGTGCAATTAGTCCATCCATAAAATTTCCTTGCTACTAAATATTCCCACGGTCAGCTGTTAGTGGTATTATAACAAAGTGGAAGCAACTGGGAACAATAGCAACTCAGGCACGAAAATGACAGAGCAGGGTCATCGCATGCTGAAGCTCTCGGCAACAACTTTCCATGGCTAAGTAGCTGCATCCAAGCCTTACATCACCAAGTGCAATGGTCGGATGCAGTGGTGTAAAGCACGCCACTGGACTCTAGAGCAGTGGAGATGTGTTCTCTGGAATTACAAATCACACTTCTCTGGCAATCCGATGGACGTGTCTGGGTTTTGACGGTTGCCAGAACGGTACTTACCTGACTGCATTGTGCCAAGTGTAAAGTTTGGTGGAGGGGGGATTATGGTGTGGGTTGTGTTTTCAGGGGTTGGACTTGGCCCTTTAGTTCCAGTGAAGGGAACTCTTAAGGCGTCAACATACCAAGACATTTTGGACAATTTCATGCTCCCAACTTTGTGGGAACAATTTGGGGATGGCCCCTTCCTGTTCCAACATGACTGCGCACCAGTGCACAATGCAAGGTCCATAAAGACATGGATGAGCGAGTTTGGTGTGGAGGAACTTGACTGGCCTGCACAGAGTCCTGACCTCAACACCTTTGGGATGAATTAGAGCGGAGACTGCGAGCCAGGCCTTCTCGTCCGACATCACTGCCTGACCTCACAAATGCGCTTCTGGAAGAATGGTCAACCCTTTCCATAGACACCCTCCTAAACCTTGTGGACAGCCTCCCCAGAAGAGTTGAAGCTGGTATAGCTGCAAAGGGTGGGCCAACTCAATATTGAACCCTACAGACTAAGCCTACGATGCCATTAGAGAACATGTGTGTGTAAAGTCAGGCGTCCCAATACTTTTGGCACTGTAGTGTAGTTGTTGGTACTTTTCGTTGTTCCAGGAAGTCACAACAAATATGAGAGTGCGTGTCACCCTGTTAGTCATCCTAATAAAGTTCGGTGGCAAAAAAAACCTGCTAGACATCATGTGAGAGAAACGCCTGCCTCCGCCTGCAGGTGGAGTCGCCTTTTTAGGCTCATCCATTTATATGGGGGTGCAGTGACTGAGGCGACTTGTGGTGGTTTTCTGCGAACCTGCTGAACACGGCGTGACATTAAAGTCCCCGCTGTTGTACCTACGGTGACATTTGCAGCTGTATAAATTATGATACATTGACTATGCAGGAAAAAAAAGAAAATTCTCTTTTACGCTTCACCCCCTCGGATTAGAAAGGTTTATTCCGGAGGGTCCCTGGCGGGAGAAGGCAGGAGGTGACGCAGCGGCGGCCATTTTCTCCTTCTGTGTGCGCTGGCTGTTTTTGTGCTGAGCCAGGCAGGCGCTGGTTTGTCTTGGCTGTGAGCCTGGGCTGCCTCTAACCCGCGAAGCGGCACGGAGACGGGCTGGGGGGTCCCCGCTAGTTGTGTCACGGCGGCGTCCGGCGTCCCTTGAGAAGTGCAGTGAACCGAGGCCCTCGCCTGCTCCTCCTCCCTTCCTCCTCCTCCTCGCCGCCTCCTTCCCCTGTCACAGCGCACAGCGCGACCCCCGCTCCGGACTATGGGTGGGTCGGGGTGCAGTAGGGTGCGCAGCCCGATGAAGCGGAGCAGCTCACGTCCAGAGGGGTCCGTTGGGGTCCCTGGTGTTTTCTTGACATGGATCCTCCCGGAGTTGTCACCCTTACCAGCCTCCCCCTGCACAAACAGCTGATCCGATCCGGCGTCCTGACATCTGCACTCAGCCTCCTGCAGACACCTTGCTAGACATGACCGGCTAGGACACCCCTCCCGACCTTCTCCTCCTCCTCCCCCCGATCACGATCTGTGTCTGTGCGATGATCGCCTCCACCCCCTATCGCTGACCCTCTGATCGCACATTGTAGCTTCGTCCCAGGGTCAGAGAGTAGATAGGTCTCCCCCCTCCCCTGAATTGTCCCCCCGAGTCATCATGGTGTCCCCTCCCCAGGGGGTGTCAGCTGCTTGCACACATGGGCTCCCTCTGTGCCCTGATGATGATGATGCCCAGGATTGTGGGGCCACTCAACCTGTGCTGTGACACACCCCACCCCCACTTGTTACACCGATATATAACTTATTTTTGCACTGTAGAGGTAATAGGAAGACAAAAGGGGGGGATATCTCTTGAAGTCCAGATCTGGCATCAGTGTAGAGAATGCAGCCTTTCAGCTGGCCCATCTGTCCCTTCCTTCCCCTTGTCTGGTGAGCCAGGAGGCTTCAATACCATGCCTAGGCAGGATGGCCTTTGATTTTATGGTCCAGGCTGATAGCAGGAACATCTTCATTTCTTCACCGTCATCACACCCCTAGCATTTGTTCTTGTTTTTTTTTTTTTTTTTTTACCAGATGTGTTTTTGGTTCACTTTTTATGTGTATATGATGCCTATTTTAGCTTCATCAGAAAAACAGCACTTTGTGTCCTAGTTGTACAGCCTTTCTATTCCTCGACCCCGGTAGTAGGACAGGCCTGTCACACGTTGCCTAACTAGAGATTTGGTTGCACTGACCTGTTGAAAGTCATTGAAAGCAAAAGGGTAACATGGCTTGTTTCTGTTGAACTGGTGTCCGACCCACCCGCGATCGCTGACAAGTGTCTTAGGCGTTAGCAGCACCAGCTAGAAAATCAAAATCGACCATGGGGGACCCAAACTCTCGCAAGAAACAGGCTCTGAACAGGCTGCGCTCCCAGCTAAGGAAGAAGAAAGAGTCTCTGGCTGACCAGTTTGACTTCAAGATGTACGTCGCCTTTGTGTTCAAAGACAAGGTGAGGACTAGGAGCGGCGATATTAGGGCTCTCACGCATGAGAGTAAAATATGCTGAGTGGTTTGGGCTGTAAGGAGATGCGTTGTAGTCTATGGGACAATGCATACCTCTGAGTAAAGATCAGAGATCAGTAATACAGTGATGAGTGTAGAGCTGTAAAACCCATAAGAAATTTTTCATTTGAGTAATTGAATTTACTTACAATCCACACATTTACTCTTCTGTAAGCATGCTTACACTTTACTCAGTTCTGTAAAGTTTTTGGCCCCTTGCACATGGGCGTCACAAGGTCTCCAGTAAACATCAGTAAGTGATAACACCCATGTGCAAGGGGCCTTAACCACTTGCCTACTGGGCACATCTGCCCTCTCCTGCTCAGGGCAATTTTCAGAGCTGTTGCATTTTGACAATTGTGCGGTCATGCAACATTGTACCCATATGAAATTTTTATCTTTTTTCACACAAACAGCTTTCTTTTTTGGTGTATTTAATCGCCACTGGGTGTTTCTTGCGCTATGAACAAAAAAAAGCAAAACATTTGAAAAAGTTTCTTTGTTTCTATTATAAAATTTTGCAAACAGGCAATTTTTTCTCCTTCACTGATGTGTGTTGATGAGGCAGCACTGCTGGGGATAGGCAGCATTGCTACTGATCATCGGTGCCGATCCCTTCACTAACAATTGCTGGTTCTCGGCAGTACTTTCCTCATGCTGTGACAGTGTGAGGAAAGTGCAGTCGATAACCGGTAACTGTATTTACCTGGTGATCTGCTGTGTCAATGGGACACAGCTGATCACGTGGTAAAAGGCTGCCGTGATTGGCCGTTTCCTTACCTATGACGTGATCAGCTGTGTTCATAGGACACAGTGATCACCGGCGGTGCCGGGTGCGTGCATCTGGGGTGCGCTCTGGAATGACATCCATGGACGTTGTCCCAGAACCAGACAACCACGCTGTATTCGTCCTTCGGCTATAGTATGGTTGGGAACTGGTTAATGAGTATATTACATTGTAGGAGTAAAATTCTTCATCATTGCCAGTGTTGTAATAATTACAACGCTGGTAATGAAGACGAATTTTACCCCCTTTTTTTGCTTACTCGCCTATCCTTAACATTACTCCAGTCTTTTCAGTTTTTTATTCGTTTTACTTGGGAACTTTAAACAAGTTCCTGAGTAAACATCATTTAAATGATGTCCATGTTCAAGGGGTATAATAAAAATTTTTTATTTTTTTCTTCCCCTTTTAAAGATGGCTTGGCACTTGTCAGTTGCAGTAATGTACGTCAGTGTGCGCTAGTATGTGCTCTGCTGTGTTCATTTAGAATGGCATCCTGACATACAGCAGCTGCCAAAGTTTCTGCTTGGCTGAAAATGCTGCAGGTCCAGTTTTTCAGGTATACATAAGTATTCGTTGATCTCTTTTACACTTATTTCCTGGTCATATACATTTTAGTAAATGCTGCGGAATTGACTCTGATATGAATGTAGAGTTAAAGTTGACCAATACTAACTGTTTTTTCACAAGGGAAACAGGGTTGTCTATGAAGTACAGCCTGTATATCCATGATCTGCTAATATATGACAGAAGATCTTTACCTTGCACCATTTCGAAGCCAAACTTTTTGTATAAAGAAAAAAACCTCTTGCAGTGTGGCCCCGTGCACTGCTAGTGTTTCTCGTGGCTCTCCTCCTTGATACTCTGGGTTTGACACAGCCCTCCAGTATCCTCACATTACAATGCAGACTAGATGTGCATTGTATGTGAGGAGTAAAAGTGTCACTGCCGGCTGGAGTGGAATGCCTTGGGCCCCTTTCAGCTGGGGGCGGGACGCCATCCCTTTCGATCAGCAGGGGATCTGCGGACAGAGCCCACTCTGCTGTATGGGTGGCTGGGAGTAAGCGGACTCCATTGCCTATTTCCACCAGACTACCCTCCGTTCTGCCTAAATGGAAGAGGATGGACCCCTTCCCCCCCCCCCCCCCCCCCCCCCCCCCCCCCCCCCCCCCCCCCCCCTTTTTTTTTTTTTTTTTTTTTTTTTTTTTTTTTTTTTTTCTCCTTCTCCCAGGTGGGTTACAATCACCTGTCCATAGGAGTGAATAGACCATCCAATCGGTTTCTGCTTGAACAGCAGGCAGGTGGAACCTGTTCATACCCACTGTGAAAGGGGCCTTTAGAGACAAGGCTATGGGGAACCAATTTCACAGATGAGTGAAGCCTGCTAGAGCGAGGAATAAGGCAAGTATTGCACCTTCCTCTACCCCTAAACTTGAAGTGGTTCTAAAGGCTCAAGGTTTTTTACCTTCATGCATTCTGGGCAAGGTAAAATACTGTGCCCCCCCCCCCCCCAAATACCTACCTGAGCCCCATTGCGATCCTGTGATGTGCACGAGAGCAACATCTCTCCCGGGTCTCCCTCTCCTTATTGATTGAGACACAGCAGTAGGGGCCTTTGGCTCTCTTTGCCGTTAATTACAGCCAGTGAGGGGTGGGGCAGAGCCATGCTCTGTGTCTTAGACACACGGTGAGTGAGCACGCACGACTGCCCCCAGAGCAAGCAGCTTGTTCCCGGGGCACTCAGCAGGGGGGGGGGGGGGGGGGACCAAGAAGATTAGGATTAGGGCTGCTCTGCACCGTACTGGTAAGTATGACCTGTTGAAAAACAAAAATGAACCTTTAAACCTTGTTTTATTTCTGATTTGGGCTTTAGTGCTCAAGACCCACAGTGCTTAAGATGACAGGCCTGTGTCACGCTGTTTTCTATGGGGCGGTTGGATGGAAACGTCCGCATTGTGTTCGTTTCCATCTGACTGTCATCTGATCCAATCCACCAAACGGATGGAGAGCAGTTTCCTATCTATCCGTTTTAAAGCATACGGATCAGTGCCAGCGCTGCATTTGTACACTGACACCCGCTGCTCTATAGAGAGCTATGGATGGGTCCGCTTGAAAAAATTGACAGGCGGACCCGATCAGACTGTCAATGTGAAAGGGGCCTAAAAGTGCTATACCTTAGAGCAGACACCCGTAAGATGCCTACTTTATTACCCAAAATTGCTTATTTTTTCTTCTTGTTTTCACTTTGTTGCTGGAGCTAAATTTTTCGTTTTTTACCCGCTGTTCCGTCTGCCCATTGCCTATAGATGGAGGACAGGAGGCTTTTGCCGATGCTAAAAGTACCTGTACGTCAGCCCGCATTGGTGGCTCACAGAGAATGCGGCCTGGCGATCAGTATGTCTCTCCCCAGACACAGTGGAAGCGCATTACTGCTGTGTCCGGGCGATCACATGATGTTTTATCATGCGATTGCTGTGACCAGTCATAGTAAAACACTGAAAGTAAAGATCGGTTCTAACTAGTCACTGCCATACGTCATTCTATTTTCTGGCATTTTAGGGTCTCAACCCATCAATTTTTTAAATATATCCCATAGCTTGTAGATTCTATAACTTTAACATAGACTAAATAAAATAATATACACTGTTCTGTTTACCCCAAAAACATAGCAGAATACATTTTGGCCTAAATTTATGACAAAAGAATATTTGCTAAAATTATTTAACTAAAAAAACTAAGAAATTATTTTTTTTTTATTCAAAAATTTTGTGAATAATTTTTTTTTTTTTTTTTTATAAAGCAGAGGAAAAAAGAGTGGTGATCAAATATCACCAAAAGAAAGCTCTATTAGTCTCTCAAAAAAATAAAAAATTTCATATGGGTACTGTGTTGCATGACTAATTGTCACTCTGTGACAGCACAGAAAGCTAACAAATTGGCCTAGACCGGAAGGGGGGCAAAGGTGTCCAGACTTGAAATGGATAAATAGGGCTTTTAAATTTTAAATAGAGTACAGGGTCACTAAGGGCTTTAGCTCACATTTCTTTCTGAGCTGCATTTTTACATACATTTTTTTTTTTTTTTTGTTCAAAACTGCATGTAAGAGTTCAGAAAGAGCATTTTGTATGGAGAATCATTTAATTATAGAATACTGCAAAATTTGTTTCTGAACAATACAGATATTAAGGTTTATAATTCTGCTATCGCTGGGTTTGATTGGTTTCTTGAATTTGTATTAAACTATGCAGTATTGGCGTCTGTTTCAGTGCTCACTGGAAGTTGACTTGTTACTTTGTTTACAGAAAAAGAAGTCAGCTCTGTTCGAAGTGGCTGATGTTATACCAGTTATGACTAACAATTATGAAGAAAATATACTGAAAGGTGTGCGGGATTCCAGCTATTCCTTGGAAAGTTCCCTTGAGCTTCTGCAGAAAGGATGTTGTACAGCTTCATGCACCTCGCTATCAGTCCATGCGCGGAGGGGTAAAGGATTTAGCTTATTTTCATTGGAGCTGTAATTTGAACAGTCTGTTTTAGACTTCCACATTTCACAGCAGTACAGTTCAGTGTATATTGGTGTCAGACTCTACAATGTGCACTTTGGTGGTCTTTTTTTGCCCCCCCCCCCCACCCCCAAATCTGCAGACATGTATGAAGTATTGTAGGCCACTTTTACATTATGGTCTGTCTGCACTCCTCCACTACAAGTGCAGAGTGACTCTTCTTGACACCCTTTATACATGTGCAACACAAACCCAGTCCAACTACCTGCAAACTTAGCTTTTTCATCTTAGCATTTTAAGCTACTTTTGAATCACTGCATGACTAAGCATATACAGACTTGTATTTCCTGTTCCATCTTATTGCAACTCTCCCCCAGGAGCAAGTGTTAATAGTTCTTTATACATTTTTTTTTTTTTAATATTGCAAGTGCCTCAGGTAACATATGTAATAGTCTTTTCGGGGCTATTTCCCTCCACTACAGCTTTGCTTGGAGAAGTATTGCTTGTGCTATCTTTTAGTACAGTTTTTTTTCTGCAAAATGCACCTTCCATTGTGATGAATGATAATGTTTTTAGAAATGAAAGTGTTCCAAGTATGATGTGAGTTGCACAGCGTACAAACCTTTTTGTACATGTTATCACGTGTCGTTTTGCATAATATCTATATTGCCTTCTAGGATGTAATTGGGTGTACTCAAGAGATGGACTTTATTCTTTGGGCCTCGGGAAATGATATAGAGAAGATTGTTTGTCTTCTGTTTTCAAGATGGAAGGGATCTGATGAGCCCTTTAGGCCTGTTTTGGTAAGTACAACTGTCTGATATGCAGGAGCTGCCAAAATTAATAGGCATATATGCTGTTCTGTTTTTCTGTAAATTTTAAAAGACTAATGTATGTTTCAAGGCATCAGATGGGTGCTAATGACCTTTTTTTTTTTTTTTTCTTTTTTTTTTTATTACAGTAAAAGGCTTATTTTTTTAACCCCTGTTTATTGTTTGAGGGGGAATGTTATGTTCTTGGATGTATTTTTTTTTTTTTTTTTTTTTTTTTTAACCCCAAATCACATAAGGGACACACATTCCCCTATGTGATGATTTTTAGTTGACTGGTTCCCTTTAATGAGACATGCAGGGTCTCCCTGGCAGTTCTAGCCTGGGAAAGTGACAGCATTGACCCTCGTCATACACGTCGCTTTCCACATCACAGCAAGAAGGGGGGAAGAGTAGACCTGTGTCCTCCTCACTCCCCTCCACTCACTGACACCTGTCATGTTGGGCCTGCAGATGGGCAAGCGGAGCCCGAAATATATGGTGGGAGTATGGGCATGTTACCAGGGGCTGTGGAAGCAATCAGGTGGCAGCTGACGGGCAGGAGTCTGCCTGTCAGTTTCAGACACAATCCCGGAGGCTGCAAGAGAGAGAGAGGGAGAAAGAGGTCCGACCTGGCAGCGAAAGATTCTTGCTGGCAGGAGATCTTTCAGAAAATAGGCATCAAGTACTTGCGTTGTGTACAATTTTCATTCAAACTAATGACTACATGGTTAGGCATGTTCATGCATAAAATCTGCAGATCTGCGTGACCCTGGACACAAAGGTGTCTTACTTCTTGTTGGTGGATTTTTTTCTTTCTCTTCAGCTAAACGCAGTGCACATTTTTCCAGATAGGTGCAGCTGTGTGTAGGGCACATTACTATATTTATAGTGCTGCATTTACATGCGCACATCTAAATGCATTGTTTTTTTTGTTTTATTTTTAATGCCCTGTGTGAATGAGCCTTAAATGTTCAAAGATCTGTTTAGTGGCCGGGGTTGTGCAAACCTAAACATTTTTGGTTCTCTGCATCCTAAAATGCCCTTGTGGTCCTTCATGTGGAGGATGTCCTAAATGTTCAGTTAGTGATAATAGGCCAGTCGTTTACTTTCTTGAAGGTTGAGATCATCTTAATGCACTGTGAGATTCAGGCCTCCCAGACTTCTGAAGTTGTACAGATATATGCATGGGGTGGCTAGCTTTTTATTTATGGAATCGGGTTTTACAGATTGTGTATTTTGAATCCAGTATATACTTTAATAAACCTACTCTTTATGAAAATGAAAAATCATAAAAGGTTGACAGAGTATTAACCACTTTCCCTCCAGAGGATTTACACCCCTTCCTGACCAGGCCATTTGTTTTTTTTTGTTTTTTTTTTTTGTTTTTTTTTTTTCCACTAATTGAACTTTCTTGGTGGTATTTGATCACCTGTGCGGTTTTTTTTATTTTTTGCTCTATAAAAGACAATTTTGAGAGAAACAATATTTTTGACTTTTTTTCTATTAAACATGTCCAGTAAAAAAATCATATTTCATCATAAAGTTAGGCCAATATGTATTCTGCTACATGTCTTTGCTAAAAAAAAATCCCAATACGTGTAAATTACTTGGTTTATGTGAGACCTATAGCGTTTACAAATGGCGGTGTATACTGGGATTTTTTTAAATTTTTACTAGTAATGGCGGCGATCAGCGACTTATAGCGGGACTGCGACTGGCATTCTGACACTGGGGGGGGGGACTGACTTGGGTGTTACAGACATCCCCAGTGACACCAATACAGTGATCCGTGCTAATAAACACTGACACTGTACTAATGGCACTGGGTAGGAAGGGGTTAACGTGGGGCAATCAAAGGGTTAACCGTGTGCTGTGTTACTAGGGGGCTGTGTTAGTGCTTCACTGTTGGAACACTGTGCACAGCCATGCAAAGCAGTGTGCACAAGCTGACAGAGAGAACTGTCAGAGCCCAGTGTCAGAGATGCTTGGCGATCACTGGGCGTGACCCGGTGATTGACAGCCATGACTGGCAGCGCTGTATATACGTAATTTTGCGCACCTGTGCTGCCATGCAGCAGTATATCTGCTATAGGGCAGACGGGAAGCAGTTAGTAATATTTGGGAATGCTTACAGTTCCATAGTCTTCAGTAAATATGATCCTAATATTCTCTCCCCCCCCCCCCCCCCCCCCCCCCCCCCCTTTCTTTCAGGCCAAGTTTGAATTTCATCATGGTGATTATGAAAAACATCTTCTGCACGTACTGAGCCGGAAGGACAAGACTGGAATTGTTCTGAACAATCCTAGCCAGTCAGTGTTCCTCTTCATCGACAGACAGCACTTGCAGGTAACTGCAGCTCTAAGGAAACAGTCATGTTTGGATTGTAATATTAAAGCATTAATCCAGTCTAAACCTAACTAAACATAATCTATCCCCACCCCCATTCCCCTCTAAAAGGAAAGATACTTGCCTATTTTTAACTTGATCTGGTCATATGATCTCTTCAGTGGTGGCTTTAGTGTAGAGGAGAGCTCACCAACGACGATTGCAGAGCCTAGGCAATGACTTTTTTTTTTTTTTTTTTGTATCCTTCGCTGATGTGAGCTAATGAGGCTGCACTGATGGGCACTGAAAGGCTGCACTGATAGGTGGCAATGATGTGACACTGATGGGCATTGACAGGCATCATTGATGGGCACTGAAAGGCAGCGCTTATATATGGCACTGATAGGCAGCACTGAAAGGCAGCTCAGATGGGCACTGATATATGGCATTGATGTGGCACTGAGTAATGCCGTTTACCGGCTCTCCTCCTCTCGAGCTGTCAGCGTGACAGCTCGTGAGGAGAGAAATGCTCTTTCCGTTGATCGGTGATCCGCTGTGTCCGAGGGACACAGCACACCACTGATCGCCACACTGCACACTCCGTGAGCCGCGCATGCGTGGATAGAATGGGAGGATGTTATATGACATCCTCCCAGAACGAGAGAACCGCCTTGCGCCCGTAAGGCGGGAGGCGGTGAATAAACTGACAAGTAAGGTAGGAACTAAGTATTTCATCTCCTTCACTGCGTGTTCACTAATAATTATAGAAAATGTAATGGGAATGTGCCAAGTGTCCACACATTGGTGTAAACCTGAAGAAATGTCACCTGGTTTTAACAGCCAGACTTGGTGATGAAGCCTTTTTTTTTTTTTTTTTTTTTTTTTTTTTTTTTTTTGACAAACAGAAAAACACAATTGGGCAGACAGAGCAACACAATCCACTAGAGGCAGCTATAATTATTAGCAATGTCTGGGGGGGGGGGGTTTAGTTTTTGCTGCAGTGATTGTTGCATTTTCAGCAGCTGCTGCAGTTATTATAGCTCAGGAAACCATTAGACGTGAGCTTTGGTAGAACTTGTTTAGTAAGTGCACATTCCTGGATGACCTATCTGATAATGATGTGGAGGGTATAGCCAGGGGGTCCTTGAGGTTTATAACCTAATTGCAAAAGATGTTAAGCCCCTGGCAAGGATGGCATGCCATTATAGTCATGGTAAAATTGCTTGTAGTGTACAGTTATCTAGGAAGTGGAAGTTTTCAGTTCTTTTGATGCCCGCATTGGAAGAAGTTGTCCTAGCATATGCTGGTTCAAGAGACGGGAGTATAAAAAAATCTTTATACATTTATCTATACTTTATAATTGTTATTGGCACCCCAAATGCAGGAAGCAAACGTGCATTTTGTTGCGCAACAAATGCTCAGTAAAATGCGCAGTAAAAAAATTGCACAAACTTTAATGCCGCAACATGCTCCATGAGCTCTTTGATGTGCGTTTGGCAGACCATTTACTTGAATAAGGGTGTGTATGCTTTTTAGATTTTTTTTTTTTTTTAATTTTTTTTTTATTTTTAATATAAAACTCCATAACTTGGTTGTGAGGATTAAACTATGATCCTTTAGTATACTTGCATGTTCTGGGAATGCATGCAAAAATACTGAAACCATGGCAAATGGCACCTCAAACACAGGAAGTAAATGTGCATATTTTCCACTCGCAAAAACACGCAGAAAAAATGTTCCATTAACTGCTCTGCTGCATTTGTTATGCTTAGAGAAACCCATTCACTTCAATAAAGGTGTTTGCATATGCTTAATTTTATTTTTAACCCCATACCTCAGTTCTGACATTTCAGGAACGTATGCAGAAATGCACATTTCCGCATTTGCACAGGTGTAAATGGGTACATGGGGTCGGGGGATGTTGAGGAATAGTAGAATATGAATAATATATTTATATTTTATTTTTTTTTATTACTAACAGCCTCAGAGCAGCAGTGAAACTTCACTGTGATGAAGAGTGAAAAAATTTACCTGTGATAATAGAAGAATTTTCAGTTTATTAAAGACACCTATGTATCGATTTTGTATCGGTGTCCTATGTATCCAGTGTATTTCCACACTATATAGATATTTACTTTTTTGTTTTTTGTCTTTTTTCTTCTTTCCCTAGGAGTCCAGTCCTTTTCATGTAACACTCTTTAGCAGAACTCTCCTTTTTTTTGTGTTTTTTTTTTTTTTTTTTTTTTTTTAAATGATTTAACTAACAGTTGATTTGTTGATTCGTACATGCTTACCAGTTCTTTTTAAGCTTTACATCTTGCCTTTCTGTGTTGCAGACTCCTAAAAGCAAAGCCACGATCTTCAAGTTATGCAGCATCTGCCTCTACCTGCCACAGGAACAGCTCACCCATTGGACGGTTGGCACTGTTGAGGATCACCTTCACCCTTACATGCCCGAGTAAGGGTGTGACCAGTCAAACTGGGAAGATCAGATCTTAGCGGCAATTTTATTTTCTCCAGATTCCAGAAGAATATGGACTCGCGTTCAGAAATCGTGTATGTTGTGAACCTTCATGCTGGATATTTCTTTCTTCATTTTTTTTTTTTTTTTTTTTTTTTTTTGTATCTGGACTTTTTTGTTTTAATTTTTTCATTTTTAATTTTCATTTTTGATTTGTTGTGCATGGACCTTGTGAAAAAGAGGATGTTCTGAAACATCTTTGCTTTAGCCTCATAAAATGTGAATTGATGGGACTCTGGCACACTGAATCAAATGTATCAGAAAGCACAAGGTATTATTTGTTTTGGTGGTCTTCCCATTTGCACTGGTCATATCCCCTAAAAATAAGTTTAGAGAGTTAGACTACAGTATTGAGGGTGAAACATGAATGTAACAGGTATAGAAGCTACACTGCTTTACTCACTATGAAAGCACTGTCTGAATTGCTTCAGTGAAGCAAGGATTAGATGCAGTTAAATGAAGGCATATTCTGGGAAAGATATATGTACAGAAATCCTGATTATTCAGCATTTGCTTTCATATCCTAGTTCCTTTTACAGGGATGAGACAGAGTGTACAGGCACTTAAAAATCTGATCTCTTGCAGTTGCTGCGTACCTCTCAGCATTTCCCCACTGTGGGTGCATTTACAATAATATAGCCTAGCAGTCTGCAGTAGCTATATTACATAGAAGTACTTGAGCACTGTGGAAACCATATGTTTCTGGATAGAGGAATTGAGACATGAGCCTGCTGGTGATTTGTGTGGTTATTACTTTTCTAAAATAAAGTAATACTTTTATTATAACAGGAAACCTATGGTGGGTTCTGAAAACTTAGTATTCTAAAGCAGTTGTAAACTGTGTAAAAGGAAAGCTGAAGCGTGCTAAGTTGGATCAGAGGATAATTTTATTTTGTGCAATGAAAATAAGGTTGACTACTGTATTGTTTAGAGAGAAGGCTCTGCTAAAGGTTTCAAAACCTTTTTGATTAAACTTGTATAGGCCTGCTCCCTTTGCCTAATACTAGTGCTTACCTGGTTTAAATTTGTATCTAGCTTTTTGTTTGAAATTGGATTACATTGAAAATTTAAAATAAAATGACGTTAATTCTGAATACGTGGCTGTTGTCTAATTACTGAGTGATGGCACTAAAGGGGAAACTATAATGATTTTGCATCTATTTTTATTTTCCCAGAGCTCTATAGGTTATCTAATAGGTGGAGCCTGGGTGACTCGGACTGGAAGTGATGCAATCTGAATGCAGTGATATTTCTATGCGTTTCAAAGATATGCAAATTGTTTTATATGTAATGCGAGTTCGGTTTTAACCAGTGGCGGTTGGTGTCACCTAGTATGGTAAAACATGGGGTCAACCCCCACCCCTCATTTACCTCGTCTGCCCCTGACCCACCAGCTTGCCACAGTACTTTGTCCTACCACTGTAAAGTGACAGCAGGATAGGCAGGGACAGTGGACTTGGAAGGGTTGCATATCTGGGGTTTTCTAGGCTACTCCTAACCCTCTTGTATTGAACTGTATATTCTTGCTATATCGTCTTCTGTTATATTGTAAAGCACTGAGCAAACTGTTGGCGCTATATAAATCCTTAATACTTTTGTAAGTATCCTAGTCGTGGGACCTTCCCTCCCCATTACCTTTTTGGTTTCCCCAAGGTTCCTTTTCCGCCAGAGGAGAAACCGCTATCCCTCTAGTGGAGTCCTCCCTTACTTATATTTATTCAAGCTCCAAATCCTTGGTAGTTGTCTGAGCTCCTGATGTTTGCTTCTGGTTGGTATGAATGGATTATGGCTGCTGGCTTCCCCAAATCTTTTGGAGGGACAACTGCATGGCTGAATCAGGTTCATACTCCACCCTCCTGGGGAACCAGTGAGGTTGGGAAAGAGGCATCTGGAGTCACTGACTACTTCCAGATGGGGGACTCATGTCTGCTGAGTCAAGTGAATTATGGTGCGTAGGCCAGGACAGAATGCGACCTGCTATTCCACAGGTCTTCCTGAATGGACAGCTGTATGGTGGTTTGTGTAAGTATACCCTGGTGCCAGACACCAAGGAGAGAGTGTAAACTGGTGGGTGATGGAGCAGTAGGCGGACCTGGATCTTCCCAGGAGTATTACAGCAGACTTCATCTGGTCAGCAAGGCTGCACTTTGCAGTATGATTCCATGACAGCTGCTATGAATCTGGCAGATGGTTCCAAGGTAGGTTGGTTAGAGGTGTGTGTGTGTGTGTGTGTGTGTGTGTGTGTGTGTGTGTGTGTTTTTTTTTTTTTTTTTTTTCTTTTCTTAATATAACTCTACTTTGGGGAGGTAGTGTGGGGTAACCCATAGGACTGTTTTGCAAGTAGTAATGGAGCTTTCACGAAATCCCACTATACAATTAACCCAGACTGGTTACTAATCTTAGTTCTGAGGGTCGAAATAAAATTCATCCCAAACTATGGGCTTAACTATTGGTGATTCCTTCCCTATTTTCAATCCCATCCTAAGATAGGAAGCAAAGCAATCTTATTTTAAGCAATCCAAATGATGGAGAAAAATTAAAGAGCCGTTTTTGGTACTAGTAACAAGACCCCAGTCAGTTGCTTGGGTGTCTTAAGAACACCATAGGCAGGTGGATCACATTCACCTATTCTGGGCACGCTGTACATAATTTCAAAAGTCAACCCTTCCAGTGGATTTGGGTCATTTCACTGGTCTTTGGCCTCTGCCTGAACAGAGAATAAGTGGTTTTGCCTCAACAGCTCTACAAAATTGCCACCTTGTCCAGTTTATGTTCAGTGTTTTGACACGTTTGGATTGCCCTGCTGTCCATTCAGGACGAAGCCTTGTGGAATAGTTCCTGGAAGCAGTAGCCCCACCCTAATAGATTATTTCTCTAATGTCCTCTCGTAGGCCATCCTGGAAGATTAAATGGGAAAACAAGACTTGGTTACCTGGTAACTCATTTTCCATGAATCTTCCAGGACAGCATGGATTCCCGCCCTTTATTCTGTGTTGTATTGAGTTATGTTATTCCATTAGTTGCCTTTTGGTTCTTCCTTAATACTGAGGACACTAGGTGACTGGGCTCTTTTATATTTGATTGTAGATTATGTGGTTCTGGTTTTATATGGACGGAGACTCTCATGTGCTGTCCTGGAAGATTCTTGTAAAAGGAGCTGCCAAGTAACTAAACTCTTGTTTTCTGGATGACAGTTTAGGAGTTTAAAGTAGGCACAACAGTGGACAGGAGGTAGCTATGAGCAGTCACTGCACTGACCGAACTCTGAGCATTCAGACAGGCATCTAAGACCCGAGGAGACCCTGGTGGTTATACAGCTTACATTGAATGTAGGTCATATGAATAAGGTGTGAGCACTGGGGGGTGACACAGGAGGGATCACAATTTTGGCATGGCCTTAAGTTTCACAGTTTTTTTCAGACAGCACTAGAAGTTTTAAGAATTGGATGCATGCACCTGGACATGCATTTACTTTTGTCATAAGTCATCTATTTTATTTCATACTTTTGCCATTTTTAGTATATTAGTATATTTATGGTAATATCTTATTCACAAGATTTTTATTTGTGCATATGTAGAAGCAACAGCACAAAGTGTTATTTCAGTCATGGTGGCACAGCACCTTTTCTTGTTTGCAGTTTTAGTAGTCCATTGTGGGGATACAATGAGGGAAATTCAGTAAAGCTGCTATGCCACTTTTCTGGCGTTTAATCCCTATTCTTAACCCCCCTAGCGGTATTCCCGAGTGTAGCTCGGGGTAAAGTTTCAGTACCAAAAGCGGTAACCCTGAGCTACACTTGGGATTAACCTGCAGTGTTGCTCTGGGATTCCGTTTCACTTACCTTGTCCTACGCTCCCGCGATGTCCCCCCTGCAGCGTCCCCTGTAATCTCCTCCAGCTGATGCCAGCAGCCATCTTCCGGGTTCTGGTCTCTGCGAGCGTCGGGACGGAACTGGCGGGAAATTCAAAAATGTAAAAATGTGACATTCACTTAATACACTAAAATCTGATAGTATTACATTACTGTATCAAACCATTTCACATACATTTTGTCCCGAGTGCTTTGTCCTGTGCCCTGCCTTCATTTTTGCCGTTCTTTCTGCCTGGAAACTGAGAAAAGTCCATGGCGTCCAAAAAGTGTCCCTTTAGGTCAAAACCGGTTTTAGATCAGCTAGAGAACAGCGATAGCAAATTAGAACTTCTTGCAGAATTGAGTGATAATGATTCGTGGGGAAATTCGTCATCAGACACTGAAAACGATTTTGCGACTTTGCTCAGTGGTTTGCGAACTTGGTGCTATATTTCAAATTTCAGTGTTTTCGGTTTGATTACATTATTGAATTTTATTATTTTTTTTATTATTTATGATTTCGTGTTTCAAATTTTATCATATCCAAAATGTTTACTAGACTTTTGTTCGGACAGATTTCAGTGAGTTATTCCTAAGAATTACAGGCCTACAATAAAAAAAAAAAACACATTTCCATGCAAAGCAATGTACCGCTTTGAGCACAGAAGTATGCTAATGTATTATGCCAAAGTCGGGCAGCCTTTGTGACACTTTTTTTAGTTTTCACAGCGACTCATGCACCAAATTCAGGTAGTTCTTAAATGCAACACTTGTACATTGTGTCACATAGACTGCCGTTTTTTTTACATTGTGTTGCATTGCGTGCGCTGAAATGTAAAAGTGGAGCTAATTAAGACAGTCTCTTTTGGCGTACAGAGCAAAACTGGCTCAGACACAGTTTGCGAAAGTGTATTCTAAAAGTGGTGCAGCATGAGCCAAATTCAAACACAAGTTCTAGACTGGTACGTGAATTTAGTGCATTTTACAACACGAGACACTTTTGCAAAATCTGTCTGCGTCAGTCTATGAATTCCAAGGAATAAGTGTTAGCAGCTGTCACTTTATTATTTTGGTTGGTGTTTGGTAGTGTA